TAACAAATTCGATAAATATCGATAACAAAATCGATAAGTATCGATAACAAAATCGATAAATATCGATAACAAAATCGATAAATATCGCTAACAAAGTCGATAAATATCGATAACAAATTCGATAATTATCGATAACAAAATCGATGAGTATCGATAACAAAATCGGTTCATATCGATAACAAATCGATAAATATCGATAACAAAACCGATAAAAATATCGATTATTTTATCGATAGGTCTCGAGAATCCCGAAAAGCTCTAAAATCCAAAAATAGTTCCCAGATTGACTCTCTGTGTCTCTCTCTATATCCTTTCCTCTTTAATCTATTTTAATCTTTCTTCCCCTATCTTCATCTTTGCTTTTATCGGTATCCCCATCCTCCTCTTTGTCTTTACTTCTATGTTCATCATTTTTTTCAGCTACATATTCCCCTTCACATTTGTTCTTATATATATAAGTAAAGTGTTTAGATTTACTTTGGTCTTCACTTTTGCCTTTATTTTTACGCAACTTTGTTGTTGTTGTTATTTTTACCTTTGCCTTTATCCTATTCTTCATTTATGTACATAGTCACCTTTACTTTCATTCTTGTATTGGTCTTTTTCTAAGTGTTATTCTTTAACCTTTTGTTAGCAAATTTTTGTTAAATTTATACCATATGCATACACATTGCAGCAGTTGTTTCAGCCCCAACCATTTCCGTTGCACCATTTCCGTTGCATCATTTCTTTTGCATCATTTCTATTGCATATACACAAGAAGAACTTGTTTCAGCCCCAATCATTTCCGTTGCACCATTTCCGTTGAATCACTTCCGTTGCATCATTTCTGTCCCAACCAGATCCGTGTGCAATTTCCGCTGAATTTGCCAATTTACTCCCAACCAACCAACCGCCGCTAAAGAAGTTTCACTTCAAAAACCCATATTTCTCTTAATTTTTTAAATATTGACCATCGATAATTTCCACAATTTCAAAATATGTGGTACTATTCAAAAGTAAATATATTTTTAAAGAAACTGATAGCTAATTTATTGCAATCGCACAAAAATTGTCGAGGTTACGCGACTTTTCTTATATACGACCTTGAATTTATATGTGTGCTCAAAAAATCTGAAATATAAATTCAAGACCGTATTTAAAAAAAGTCGCCTAACTTCGACAATTTTTACGCGATAGCAATAAATGAGCTATCTTTAAGCTAGATTTAATTTTGGATAGTACCACATATTTTGAAATTGTGGATATTATCGATGGTAAAAAATAAAAAAATTAAAAGAAATATGGGTCTTTTTTTAATTTACTCGATAAAAATTCCCAACAAGTACAGTCAGACAATAGATTATTATACACCATTTTAAAGGCCTTTATATCCTCTTCTCAGATCATATTCATCATTCATTCATCATTCATAATCAGCAAGCTCAGAAACCCACTGGAAACTAGTTTCAACACTTGACAATGCTTAAAACGTTCAGTATCAACGTTTTAATTGTAGTAATTATTTTTAATTTGATCGCCATATTGGATCCGCCATTTTAAACTTAAAAAAATTGACTTCAAATTCGTAATCGGCGAACCCCAAAAACTATACGAGTGCCGGGTTTCTAACAAATCCAAATTAAAAAAAAAATGGATCGCCAATTTGGATCCGCCGTTTTGAATTTGGAAAACTGACTTCCTAATTAGNAGATTCCTAATTAGAAACCCGAGAAACCCCCTGGTAAGAAGTTCCAGCCCATGACAATGCATAAGTCGTTCAGTATCAACGTTTTAATTTTAATAGTGTCTTTTCGAGAGCATATTTTCGGGAACTAGGCCCATTACAACTGTCCAAGACAGGTGTATAATAAAGGGAATGTTCCCCAATAATACCAGAGTAATTATATGTAAAAACCACATTTTTAGCTGCATTTTAATATGTCACGAAAATAAAAAATTGAGAACATTAGTGTTTTTATAAAAAAAACGACCATAGCGATCTCTAAAAAAACTTTTTTTAGAAAATAAAAAATACGTGTATCTTTCTTTATCACAAACAACAATATTCTGATGTAGCGTTTATGAATTTCCAAAAATAGTGTTTTTATGAACCACTCTAATTCCTCTTAAAAAAAGCAATACGCAAGATATACTATTTAGCTTCTCTATGATAAATTGTGCTGTTCGCCTTGATAGTTCACACTTATGTATGCTGAAACTCACGCTAGGCGCACATTTCATGCGATGGGCGGACCGATTTCGGTCGAATGATATGGTCGCCCGACCAGTGGCGTCCCTGTGGGGAAAATCTTTAGTTTTGAACTGGGGCGCTTCTAGTACATTTAGAACCACTACTAGTTCGCGATAAATCTCTTTTGCATGCAAACAACTGGCGAATTTAACACAGCGATGTCATAGGAATTGGAAATTGTCCCCGCTGCATTACCTTTTCCATAGTTCAGAACCAGTCCTAAATTCGACATATGGGATCTAGTTCGCTTTGCACCCCATTTTCTATAGTTTCGAACCAGTTGTAAACGAAAAAAGTAACAAGATGTTTTCTTTTTGGGTTACCATGGTAGCAATTTTCAATTTTTTGCAGAGAAATGTACTTTCAATCTGAAATCAAATTTGTTTGAATGAATGTAAATTTAATTTTGCATTTGAAAACACGTTTACATACCTTTGGCTGTAGCTGAATTTGCAGAGGGGCTGACTGTTATTGGTTATATTCCAGAAGGTCCCATAATGTTAAGATGTTAACACAAATATTAGTTTTGTATTACCAAACTATGAAAAAGCATCTGCGACGTGCAGACTGAAAGCGTATTTGAACGAAAAACCCGCCAAGCAAAAATCTATTTAATGTAAACAAGCCCCCCGCTGCATCCCTTTTTCAGTAGTCTCGAACTAGTTCAAAATTCGCCAGATGAGATCTAGCTCGTTCTGCATCCCTTTTTCTATAGTTTTGAACCAGTTCTAAATTCGTCATTTTAGATATAGATGTCTAAAATTGTTTTTTAAAAGTACCACATATCGCCGCTTTTGAACTGGTGGCGATCTAGTTACTATCGGACTCGTTCGTTTTTGGCGATAAAGATCTAGTACGGAACTACAAATTTGGTTAACCAGTTCGGGGTTTTCCTACAGGGGTAGCTATGGTGGGTCGTCAGGGGCGGACCGCACCGGGTGCCACTTGTTTGGGGTGACACCCGACCATCAAAAAATAAAAGTTTATGCAAATATTCACTACGTTTATCACTTATAAGTCACTTAGGTTTGAAAAAATCATAGTAGAGTTATCAATACTATATTAAATGCAAGTAATCTATTGTTATGAATATACTAATTACTTTGAAACTCTGCCTTGAGTTTGATCATTGGATTGTTAAATAAAACACTTAGTTGATGGCAAAAATGTTTACTTTATTACACTGTCAGTATTTCTTTAATATTACTCCATTGAAACGCTTACCTTAATACCTTATATCACAGTAGCACTGCAACTTCCCTCTACTAATTCCTGTTTACAAACTCACAATGTTATTTTTATCTTAACTCTTAGTTGTCAACTTTCAACTAAATTTAGTTGCATAGATCACTCAGTTAATTTATGTGGTCAACACTCATTTGCGCAAAATGTATCATGTGCAACATTTTTCAGACAAAAGAGCCAATTTTTACATTTTTTTCTGCTTAAACCAGCCGCTGGGAAGTGCTTCCTAAACATAGCTAAGCATCCATTAAAAGGCTCTCAATAACACTTTGGAGTGCTCATTATGGTGCAGTTAAAGTGTTGGCTGAAAACTTCGATGGGACTGTGGCTGCAATTGATGAAATATGTTCAAAATTTAGACACCAGAGGTAGCGCACATAACCTTATGCTTTTGGAATGATGTATTGAGGGAAATAAATTGTGCACAGATTGCATTGCAAAGTAAAAGCTGGAGTGTTGATAAATTAGCTATCAAAATAATGGTACCTCGTCTTTATATTGAAGACAAACGGGATCACTTTGTCGAATAGCCAATGGATCTTGCTGTTTCTATTACACCCAGTAAATTAACTAACTAACTACTAAATACTAATGGAATAACGAATTCGTGCTAAAAAACCCGATGCAGGTCTGAAGTTGAGAACTGAACTTCAAAAGGATATCGATTCAAACAGGTGGAAATGCTTTTCAAAATTGTTTTCAAACTAAAATCTTTCATGCCTGACATTGTAATACACATTTATTTTAATAAACTGATNACTTTTCAAAATTGTTTTCAAACTAAAATCTTCTTAAATCTTTCATGCCTGACATTGTAATACACATTTATTTTAATAAACTGATGAACTCAATTGAGTTTGATTGTTCAAACAAATGGCAACCCTCCTAAATAAAGGTCAGAAATAAAGAGTTTTCAAACCCATTTCGATTGATACCCACCCTTTAAAAATTTATTTAACTTATTAGATTAATTAAATTTAACTTTTGAAACAGATGGCAACCCTCTGGAAACCTCTCAAAAAATGTAAATTTCTCAAACTAATCATTTCTTAACACTCTCTCGTTTTACAACAATATTTCATATAACCTGTGTAATAGTTAACTAAATTCGACTTTTCAAACAGGTGGCAACCCTCTTCAAAAGTAGTTTCAAGCTAAAACTCTCTAAACTCTCCTTCGCCACGTAACGTCTTTCGTCCTCGTCGCGATACATATTTTAATTAGCTGATGAATTAAGTTGAATCTGATTTTTTAAACATGTGGCAACCCCGCTAAATGTAGTTCAGAAATACCCATTTTTCAAACCCCCTTCGATCCAGGTTTTAATAATTAGTTTATCTTATTAGATATTTTGAATTTAACTTTTTAAGCAGGTGGCAACCCTCTTCAAACACCTCAGAAATATTCTTAGTTTGACATCCGTATTTTGATATTTCACATACCTATGTAACTTGTGTAAAATGTGTGTATGTATGTATGTATGTTAACTAAATTCGTATTTCAAGCAGGTGCAACCTTCTTCAAAACATTTTCAAACTACTACCTTCTGAAACCCTTATAGTTTGGCGCCGATATGCTGATATATATGTCTCTTACCTAATTCTTTAATTCAAATTTAATTTGATTTTTTAAATAGGTGGCAACCCTGATATAGTTAAGTTAAGAAACAAAGCTTTTGAAACTCCTTTCAATTGACACACATTTTGTGAAAAGCGACTTAATTATTTTAATAATTTGAATATAATTCTTTAAATGGTGGCAGCTCTTTTCAACAAAGTAAAACCCTATTGCACATCCGCAGTCGAAACGTTTTAATTTGACATCTCTTTCTGGAAAATCGAACGAACGATGCGGAATTGATGGCATTGATTATTAAATAATTTGAGTTCAGTTGTTCAACAGGTGTCAACTCTTTTTAAAAAAATAAATGTTTGCACATCTAAAGAGCAAGAGCTTTAATTTGACACCTAATTTTTGAAAATCGAGCGAACGGTGCAGATCTTATGTCTTGGACATCCCCGCGCGTATTTATATATAGATTCAGTCTATATGGGAGGTTCCTCATTAAAATAACCCACATTTTTCCACGAGTATAGTTATGATTTTATATTCATACATATCTCCATGCCAAGTTCCAGTACTCTACCACAAAAACTTTCAGAGGTAGCAGTATGAAAAATTGCGTTTGTATGGCAGATCCCACGCCCCTTTGTCTAATCGAGATGAAAGCTAAATGACACCCGTGTGCGATTTTGCATTATGATCGGTTAAGTAGTTAAAGCATGAAAGCGTAACAAACAAACCAACTCACTTTCGCATACATAATATTAGTAAGGATTATCCAGTACAGACCATTAAAATAATTTTTAGAGGCGAGCATTTTTTATACAGACTCAAATACAGAAACGCAAAATATTACACCAGGTCATATACATTTTTTTTCCTTTAATTGTTTGTGTTCAACGAAAAACTATTATTAAGTAAGAAGTTACGCTTTGGTTACGCGCTTTCTCAAGACAATATTTCAGAAATGTGAAGTAGCACCTTGTCCTTTATCCTACACTGAGGGAAATAATGCATAGTAAAAATGAATACTTTATATTTGATTATCGTTTAAAAATGTTCGTATTTAAAAATAATATTTTCATACAAAATTTATTACGCACGTATTTGACTGTTCACATCTGAGTATGTATATGCACACGCACCCCAAGCATGCAGAGCGCTGCTCTGAGAGCGGTGACAACAGTACATTTCGAGGATAAAATATACACAATTATGTGTTTTTTTATGAACAAAATGTAGGTTAAGGCTGTGTGCGAGTTCGTCTAAATTGCTACCTAAATAGAGAAAAATCCTAAATCACTGGAAAGTGTCGGTAACGCAGTGAATAGGAACAGTTTAGATTTTCTGCGAGCATACTTTTCAACCTAAATTGAACAGTCAAATATATTTGAGCGAGCGATTAAGGGCCGGTTACTCAATTTCTGGTTAACACTTATCTCCGGTTAAACTTAGTTATCGACGTTACCGACTCCCTGTTATATGCATGGAGTCGAAGACGTCGATAACGATGTTTAACCGCAGATTAGTGTTAACCAGACATTGAGTAACCGGCCCTAAGTGAACAACGATTTTTTGATGTTTTAAATAATTTTTATCATTGCTATGGCACAAAAAAGAAAATATTCAGAAAGATGTAAATATAAATTTATTTGATTTTTGCATTCAGATAAGTATATGTGTAATTCGATGGATGTATATTATTTCGCAGGGTCAGAAGAGCAAACGGATCCTTTTATAGATGCCAGGATGGAACATTCTCCTTTTCTGTTGCAAATTTATTATATTGTTAAATAGTCCCAAAGCTATCGCAAAATTATTCATTTTATAGATACATTTATTAAAAGCAACAATGCCAAAATAAACAATTTAGGTTGTCGAACGAACTCGCACAGTTTTAGCAGCTGTTTCCCTAAATTGTATCAGTGCTGGAAATTCCCAGTGGAATATTAGTTTAGGTACTAAAATTTAGGTAAACTCGCACACAGCCTAAGTATAATATTCATCTTTAATGTATGCTGATATTCATGCGTAATGAAGAATAATATCAATAGTTAGGTACATAAATAACGCTTGTGTTTTATAAACTGGAAAACTCAAATCGTAATTATAGCATTGAATGGAGTTTTCTTAAATGTAAGTTTAAAATAAAAAAAAGTCCATTGTAAGATTAAATTATTTATGAAAACCGTAAATTTTGTGAATTTATCAAGCCAAATTCTAAATTTCCGAATATATTTAAGCCTTTATTAAAAAAAACAAGGTTTTTATAGCTATACAGGTCTCAATGACTGCCAGCACATCCGCCCAGACAGTCCTTTAAGCACACCCAAGTTTGAGTGATCTACAAGTTACAAGCGTTTTCAACATTTAACAGTTCATTATCATGTGCGGTGTAATATAACAAATTATACACTGAACTATGATAATCTATACTAGTATCTATAATAATACACAAAAATTTGCAATGTTTTTACTCTTTTGCAATAGTTTCGGGCACTATTACACAGTCATGACTTGTGCCACTCTGCCAAAGTACGGTTTTTGCTCCCTTTCATACCAGAATAATTTTGTATACAACTCTGAATCAACAAAATTCATTATCCTTCTCATTATCAACCCTGATCAGATTTTACCCCCGAGGAGTACTCAAAAAGGTTTATTACTGTATATACTGTGGTACAAATCGCGTGCTGTGGTGTTGATGGATATTCAACATTTGAAAGCAAATTTATATGTGTAGCTGAGTGCGCAAAGATTCTTGCCACAAGTTGTTGATATCCGGAGATGGTCGGGTTCGAATTCCACTGCAGGGAACATGCAAATAAAAATTTTTTTTCTTAGTTTTTGCCTTAATTATTCACTTCACGGATGCTTTTTCAGTACGAACGCGGTAATTTTAATATGCGCGTAATTGAATTGAATATTTACCAATATACAGTACTTTCGTTGACGTTTATAGTAAGATCAATTACGTTTCTATTTGATTTTAATATGTTTCCCTCGGTGTAGGATTATTCTTCTGAAGAAGTAAAGAGGTATATTTTATACCCACAAATGAAAAATAAGTACCGCTCAACTACTATCACAAAAAAATTCACGATTTTAATAAAATACGCGAAATTAAGTTACAGTGTGAGAAGCTTTTTTCTCGCGTTTGGTAACTGGAATATTTGTTTAATACCTCCCTTTTTATTCCTCATAACGTACAAATGAACGCCTAAAAACCCCAAGCTGTAGGTCATATCGCGCAAGAAGTTAAACATTGGTAAAAAGTAGATTTAATGCAAGTTGCACTAGAAATTTCCTGATTTTCTCGATTGTTGCAAGTAAATTAGTCATTTAAAACGTTGGTTTTGTTATGCATAAAAATAAATAGTAGTAATAACGAAGCTATAGAAACAGCACTTGGCAGTGCAGCTGCTTTGTGGCGGCAACAATATGCCAGTACACTGAGGGAAATAATGCATGGTAAAAATGAATACTTTATGTTTGATTATAATAGTTATAATTACACTGAGGGAAAAAAATATTAAAATCAAATAGAAACGTAATTGATCTTACTATAAACGTCAACGAAAGTACTGTCTATTGGTAAATATTCATTTCAATTACGCGCATATTAAAATGACCGCGTTCGTACTGAAAAAGCATCCGTGAAGTGAATAATCAAGACAAAACCTAAAAAAAAATTAATTTGCATGTTGCCTGCTGTGGAATTCGAACCCGACCATCTCCGGATATCAACAACTTGTGGCAAGCATCTTTGCGCACTAAGCTACACCCAGAAATATAAATTTTCTTTCAAATGTTGAATATCCATCAACACCACAGCACGCGATTTGTACGGATAAACATGTATGTACTATGTATGTGTGTCATAGTTGCCAACTTGGCGCTTTAAGCACTAGATTTGGTGCTTTTTGAAAATTAAAACGGCAAAAAAAATTGTTTAGTGCCTAGTGCTTTTTTTAGTGCTCTTCTTCTCTTTCTCATAGATAGTTAGAACATGAAATAATTTGAAATATTCAAAGCTGTAGCAGCACTGAATTTAAAAGAGTATATATTCATTTTTTCGTTTGTTGCGATTCGATTTATCTTCCTCTAAATATACCAGTATACAACCTTTGTGTGACAATATCAAGGCGCACGCCACAAATCGGAGGAGAAGCTCGGCCAAACACTAACATATGTGTAAGCGCCAATCTATTATTATTATAAATATACCAGTTTTAATCTACAGTACTTACTTCGGTATTACTTCGTTAGCAAGTGTGTGTGTTGTCACCGCTCTCAGAGCGGCGCTCTGCATGATAGGGGTGCGTATGTACACTTACATATACATACTCAGATGTGAACAGTCAAATACGTGCGTTGTATGAAAGTATTATTTTTAAATAAGAACATTTTCAAACGATAATCAAATATAAAGTATTCATTTTTACTATGCATTATTTCTCTCAGTGTATCGTTTAAAAATGTTCGTATTTAAAAATAATATTTTCATACCAAAATTTAGCACGGACGCATCTAAGTATATCTACGTAAGTGTACATATACATATGTATGTATACCAACCCTGCAGAAAAATGTATCAATTGATAAAAAAGAACCAACTTGGAGTTAGCTTTTTTGCGAGATTTCTATAATATATAACTTGTGGTTAGCTACAAAAAGGTAACTTGAAGGTACTTGAAAAGTAATGCAGGAGAAATGCAGACGTAATCGGGAGATTGTTTAACAACAAATATTACTTTGAACACACTTTCTCTCTGCACGTCACAAATACTTTCGATATAAGGACAAATAAAAGGAAGATCCACAATTTATATTGTCGTATGTCTGACGGAGGTCAATAATGGGACCACCTACAGCAGAATATGTAAACAAATATAAAATGTAATAAAATAAAATAAATAAGAGTAAGAAGAAGATTTTTCTTCTTATTGATATTTTATGTCCAAAAGTAGTTAGTTACAAGTTATTTGACATCAAATGCAGAGGTAACCACCCTTCACTGTTTCGTGGCCATCGCCATAGAAATAGAGTTAGCTTTCCTCAAAGAAAATATACAAATAATACATACATATTTGCCTTTAGTTCTTTCCTAATCAACTTCAAGTTAACTTATAGTCAGATACATTTCCAGCAGGGAAGCATGCAGAGCGGTGACAACACACATTCGTACATACATAGTACAAATGCACTAACCGCATGCTGTGGTATTGATTGAAATTCAACATTTGAAACCACATTTATATGGCTGGCGGTCTAGCAACAATTTGTTGATTTCCAGAGGGTCAGGGTTCGAATGCTATTGCAGGCAACATGCAAGTTAAATATTTTGTTTCTTTGGTTTTTATCTTGATTATTCACTTCACAAATGCTTTTTCAAAACGAACGCTTTATTTTAATATGTGCGTAGTTTAGGGCTGCCATAATCTTGAACCCATCGACCAGGACACTTATTCCCTATAAATACAGTTTCTTTGGTTCTGGCGTTGCATTATTTTGAAGTATTTTCTGAAATTATAAGCAATGTAGTTTTGTGGCACAATTCATAGAGCTGAATGATTGATGATGATGAAATGCTCAAGTTCTGATTTTTTTTTTAAATCATAAAAGAACAAATTTATCTTGACGGTGACGGAACTTGGAAAATGTTTGGCGCTTTTAACGTGACCTTGAATGCTTGCCTTAGCACCATTAGCAAATTTCCACATATCCTAGTTACAATGCGCTTCATGATCATGGTAGGCAGCCATGGAAGTGAAGCCATTCTAAAAGACTTACCCAATAAGGGATGAAAAAGTGCTTCCCTGCATGCTTCCTAGAAAGGATTTTCCTATTTACAATTTACGTGAATGTACTTAAGTATATGTTTATATTATTTAGCATTATAATAAGCATTTAATAAGCATTTAAGTCTCGCAAAAACATATTTTATCCGAACCTTAAATATTTAAATTCCTTAAAGAACTACATATGCTTTTTTGAAATAAAAACAGCTTTAAAATAACTTCTTCAAAAGGCCTTTAGAAGTACGTCCTACAAAAGCCCTTCTGGAAGCTCTTCTCTGAGTAGTGAAAGCACTTTCAGAAAAGCCTTTTAGAAGAGATTTTAACTCCTGAAACTATCTACTGCCTCGTATGTGTGACCCCTTAGCCGTGTACCTGTTCAGGAACTTGAACTTTTTGTGGCATTTGGCTGAAGATACAAAATTAAATTTCAATCATATACACTAAACAGACAGAAGGTAAACTCACCAGATATTGTTCAACATGTTAGAAAAAATGTTTTATTATCGATTTTTGATTACTAATGACAGAAAGCTTAACCTACTTTTCAAAGAAAAAAATTGCTAAAAATTAGATGGGTGTCTGTATTGACCTTCAATAAAAAACCGGGACAATTTAAGTATGGACCAGGACACCAGGACAATTTGTTTAAATCAGGACAAATCCGGGAAAACCAGGACGCCTGGCAGCCCTAGCATAGTTGAATTGAATATTTACCACTATGCAATACTTTCATAGATCAACTACGTTTCTGATTGATTTTACTATTTTCCACCCTCGCCGTACGCAAAATGTCCCCATCTCAAAAGATTTCCCCACATATAGGGGGGGGAGGGCAATGAGAATCAAAAATTTTGTACGCACGCATGCACAACTGCATGCAAATCATAAAAAATGCAATATATAATGCATTTTTCAAATTGAGAGATTGACATTTTTTTTCGAATTTCGAACAGTGGAATCGTGTTTCTCGTCTCAAAATCTATAATACTAGTATAATAAGAAATATATACATTCTTTGTTTTGGGCATTTCCCCTATGCAGTTTAATGCCGTGTAACTTAGTGGCTTCTTGCTTTTGCAGTTGGCATTATTAATACGCTAAAATAAACATTTTTCTACATATTTTTAGGCGCAGTAATAATTTAATTTTAACACCAAAAATACTTTTGAACCCAACGCTCTAACTTTCGCTGGCAGTTTGATTCTTAGTCCTTTTAAATTTAAGTTACTGTCCACCTTCACCTGCTTGAAAATATAGTTTGCGTGACAATGCCCGGCTTGGGCTGTTTATTTTATTTTATTATTTGTCAAATTAATTTTAATTATATTTTTATAAAAGTATAGCTCACTGTCTGATAGAAACCATAAAAATAAATCCAGGATTTGTAGAAATTTTGTGGGTAAACATTTTTAAATTTTCTTCCATATAGGGTATGTTCAATTTTTTTTTTAATTTTTAAATGTGGGTTTATTTTCGTTAGACAATAAGCTATACTTTTCTAAAACAAATAATTAAAAGTTATTTGAGAAAAATAAAATAAATAGCCCAAACCGAGTTACTATATTATTTTATCGGGGGGTGTAGTTTTATAAATTTGGAATATAATGAAGAGATCACAATGATAAGTTACATTAAATTAAGTCTACAACAACTGAAGCTGTACAATGAATTGAACAATAAACACCCTGCAGTAGACAAAAATATGTGTTTTTCGGATAAGCGAAAAATTGAGGCAATGGTATTGACGCAAATGGCGAAAAGTACAATTAAGCTCAAAAACTTACACTATTTTCATTAATTTAGTACAATTTAAAAATCTCAAATATCAACACTGCTCATCTTATGTACTTGTGGGGTTGGAACTGTTTTGCGGACTCTGTTGTTCCTCCTCGAAGCTTAAAATAGAAACGTGGGTAAACTCAGAACGCAGTAAGTACTAGGGAGAGGGCCTTTGACAGGCCAGACTTCTTGGTTATCCTTTCGATAGGAAAAATATACATCTTCTGAACAGAGCCTATATCAAGTTGCTTGTTGGCTACCTGACGGGTCATAATCACCTGCGAGACAGCGAAAATGGAGGTTAACTTGCAAGTTTTATTGGATTTTTCGGAATAAATTTTTACCAGTAAGAAAAACAGGTGATGGCACGATGCTTAGCGCAACTCACACTAACAAAACAATTGTTTTGTGGGCCTTTATAGTTGAAATTGACAAATTTAACCTATTTAAATATACATATAATAAGATAGGAAATACTATTAATCTTAGCAAATTGCAACAAATTAATCAGCTTTTAATAAAACTTGCAACTTCTTGCTGGTTTTTCGTTTTCTTACATTATTGCATGTCTTTCTCATTGAGAGCAAATGCTGACTTACACTCAGAAATTTAGTTACTGGAAAGTACAAAAATACGACTATAGATTATACATGGTGCACTAAGTGCGGGCAACAATGCTGCGAATGAATGGAGCTTACATGTGCTCCTTTAAATTTCACTATACCCAAGAAAGGGAAATTTATAATATGGCTCAGCAGAGCAAGCAAATGTAAACCATTGGTAGATTTAATTTAATTAAAACGTTTTCAAAGTTGCCAGCAACAACAGTAAATTTATCATCGTGAAGTTAGCTTCTGCAACGTCCGGCGAGGCTGCGATGCAGTTCACCAAAACTAATAACAAACTCAGTAACAATTTCACTGATCGCACTAGACAATTACAAGGCAATGCAAGTCAGAATCATTCGTCTAGTCTGTGATAAAGTCGCATCAGGGAACTGAGAAGTCGGAGGACCTCCACTGCGGCGTCGCAACATTATTTAAGCATTTGGTATTGCCAACAATGAATATTGAACAGAACAAATAAATTTAACTGCGTACCCCTTAAAATATGCAAATGAAGAAATAAATTTAAGTCCTTTTCTGCGCGCTGTGGCCCCAACATCCTTTGGTGTTTAGTGCGAGCTTTTCTTATTGCTTTTGAGAAGGCAAGTGAATGCGGGCATTTGTGTGTTGATACTGGACACATATAGCGCGCATAAATATTGAAAATGGTCGTCGCACAATAGCCACTGCAACCGAAATGATAACAACAACAATAAACTACGAGAAGCAACCACGGCGCTTGTTATTGCCTGCTGGTATGAATACGCAACAAACTCCAAAGATTAAGACACAAGGTTTTTTATTTGTTTAAATGGAAATAACATTAAATTACATCAGAAAAAACGATAGTAACGATAACAGCACAGGCTGACTGCAGAACAACTGCTTGCGCAGGCAAGCATCTTAGGGCACCAGGGAGAAAAGCAATGCTCGCGCCACGTTCATTCGAATTGATGTCACAGCGGGCGAGTGAGCGATGCCGAGAGTTCCTTTATCACTACACGCCAAAGATGGCTTTGTGTCCATATTCAAACACATATATTTAAGCAGAAGATTAATGCCTTTACCTGGTATAAGTTCCGACTATCTGAGTAACCCCAAAATGAATAATCAAAGCTTTAGCACACACAGGGGGTGGGTTTTGGGGTTCAAACCCCCCCCTAAAGGTAATAGCCTGAAGTAAATTCTGTATCTTAAAGCTTTGAATCCAGCTCTCAAGGAAATCATAAGAAATATTTATTATAATTTCTGTTGCTTCAAAAAAAGCGCTTTGCTTATGCTGTAAATATTTTTCTTGAGAGCTGCAAACTGATTTAAGTAATATTCGTGGAAGAAAATTTCTTTTCCATTTCTTGTGCGTCGTTTTATATGAATGTATTGTTTTTCTTGAGAGTTCAGGTTATTTTTTCGGCATTCGAAATATTAAAAGAAGTGGGACAACCGTGAGAAATCACCATCTCTATCGAACCACAAATCACCATCTCTATCGAAAACCACAAACAGAAATCGAGGAAAATGTATATAAAAGTGTAAAAATTCCATGAAAGCAATTAATTTTACCGAAAACTATAAACCAGAAATCGAGGAAAATGAACATAAAAGTGTAAAAATTTCAGCGAATAAATAAATTTATTTTTATTGAATATCTTTTTTAAAATTTTGTATTAGGTACTTTTGAAAGTTGAGCGCATTTTGAGTTTATAGAACCTTTTATTTAACAAGTAGTTTTTAAGGAAACAACACAACCGACTTCAATTCTCATATACAAATTTAGGAGTACCGTTAATTTTTTCATGATCCAATCATCGGATCTAAAAAATATTACGTGACGACCCTTGAGATACCATCGTTCCAATAAAAACAAGTAAGAAAGTCTAAGCTCGGGCGGAGCCGAACATTAAATACCCGGCGCAAGGCCGGGGTGTATCAATTTTGAGTAAATTAGCGTCCCTAAATTTCGAAATATTGCAGTTTCAAGCATTTCTGAAATTTACCGTTATATGAAAAGCGGCCGTAATTTTAGTCCGATTTCAATAATTTTCAACGCTTTGCTTTTATGTGGCAAGCACAATAACCATACCGAATTGGTACAAATTGGTAGAACAGTTACCGATACATATATATGTGATCATAAGTGGGCGGTGCCACGCCCATTGTCCAAAATATTACCATAATCGTATTTCTTGGTAAAGAATTGTTGCAAGTATCAATTTTGAATAAATAAGCTTTAATATTTATTGACTTATCGAAGATTTTGTATTTCTCTAAATTACCGTTATATGGGATGTGGGCGTGGTTATTGTCCGATTTTTTACATTCTCGGCCATTTAGTATGCTGTATCAACGCCAACAACTGTGCCAAGTTTGGAATAAATTGGTGCAGCGGTTGCCAAGATATACACATGTAACCATAAGTAGGCGTGGCTACGCCCATTTTTCAAAAGTTTATAACATTCTTATTTTTGATCCAAAAATTGTTGTAAATATCAATTTTGAGTGAATAATCTTCAGTAGTTACTAAAATATCGCAGTTTTCGTATTTCCGCAAATTACCGTTATATGGGATGTGGGCGTGGTTATTGTCCGATTTCGCCCATTTTCAATACGAACCTACCTTGGATTAACGGAAACTTATATACCAAATTCGTTGAGATATCTCATTCTTTGCTTGAGTTATCGTGTACACGGACGGACGGACAGACGGACGGACAGACAGACATGTCTTAATCGATTTCTGTATTCATTCTGAGCATATATGTACACATTTGTCTATATCTATCTCGATTCGTTTTGGCTGTTACAAACAACCGTTATGTGAACAAAATTAATATACCCTTGTGCACAAGTGCGCTCGGTTATAAAAAGAATTATTGAAATCAGTTCACGTGGTCCAAAGTTATGCGGTAGCATACCTACATAAAAAAAAAAATATTCCGACGAGTTGATAACCTCCCCTTCTAAAGTCGGTTAAAAATGTTTGAGCTCTTTGTTAATTTTATGTAAATAAAGTGCAATTTATGAAACTTTAAAACTTTTTAATACTGAATTTATTAATTACTGTACATAAAAATGCATGAATGAATACATTTTCGGTATTTTCTGGTGATATATCTTCAGAAATATAAAACCCCCCTAAAATATACCTGGGCGCACCCCTGAATCAAAGGTATTTACATATATACATAGATATGATTGGCTTAGTGTGCAAACGTGCTAAGTCCACTTTTTATGAAAATTGAGTAATGCAGTAAGAAATCACAACTCAAAATAGATCATTACAAAAAAAAAGTTGCCGTAATGTCGTTCTTACTTGTTATTACGCAGTGGTATGCAAATAAAATCAAGAAAAAATATAAATAAGTCTGTCCGTGTACATGATAACTCGAGAAATCTCAGCGAGATTTGGTATGTAGGTTGCCCTTTATTAAGGCGGCCAGAATATTTTAACATTCCAGGAGGATAAATTCTCCACATTGAAAACACAAAAAAAAATTGTATTTATTTTAACACATAAATAACGAATAAATAAACAATTCAAAGTTTCTCTAAACACAAGTCAAACAATTAATTATAAGACCGCCACATATTAACAAATTTTGAATATTTATTTTTAACCGACTTAAAAAAGAAGGCCATCAATTCGTCGGAATATATTTTTTGGTATGTTACCGCACACATTCGACCACCTACACCGATTTCGATAATTATTTTTCTATCGGAAAGGTAGTGTCTCACATGCGGTCCCATACTAATTGGGTTTAGATATTCGATCGTTGGATCATGAAAAAATTAACGGTACTCCTAAATTTTTATATGAGAATTGAAGTCGCTTGTGTTTTTTGCTTAAAAATTACGTTTTAAATTATTTAATTGTAATTATATTACTTGCAAAATAAATTGCTTTCGTTCTTCGTCTTTCGCCAAGGTTCCATTATAATTTTGTATCAACGCTATACCTCGCTCAGCAATACCCTGTGGGGAAAATCTCTAGTTCTGAACTGGTGCGCTTCTAGTACATTTAGACCCAGCACTGTTTCGCGATAAATCTCTTTTGCATGCAAGCAACTGGCGAATTTAACATGGCGATGTCCTAGGAAGTCTCAATTGCTCCCGGCTGCATCCCTTTTTCGATAGTTCCGAACTAGACCTAAATTCTATAGTTCCGAACCAGTTCCAAAATCGACAGACGAAAGAAAAAAGTATCATGATTTTTCAATCTTTTTGGCTCATCCGTAGCGCGATTTTAAGTTATTTTGGAAGAAATGTGTTTTCAATTTGAAATTAAATTTGTTTGAATGAAGAAATGTACGTTCACATACCTTTAGCTGTAGCTGAGTTTGCAGAGGCGCTCGCTGTTATTTCGTATATTCCAGACGGTCCCAAGAAAGAAAAAATTAGATTTTTAAAAGTACGCCTTTTCGCCGATTTTGGAC